TTAGAAAACGAATAAAGTAAATAATGTATTCTCATCCATGAATCTACTCTCACACGGGAAATACGAATAAAAAAAAAAGAAGAAAAAGAAGAAGAAGAAGCGGTGCTTTCGGTCGAGTGACCAAAGTATATCTTCGAAGAGGGAAAAAACACGAAGCCAGGTGCTACTCGGAAGCACACGCTGCAGCAGACCTAACGTTTTCTATACACATATATATATATATATATATATATATATATATATATATATATATATATATATATATATATATATATATATATTTTTCACATATACATATTTATTTACATGTGTGTATCGAGTTAGGAGCACGCGCCCAGTGCAAAGCACGAGTCTGTTCGTGAACACCCGACAAGCAGATGTTTCTCCTCTTGGGAGGCTTCAATGCCACCCCTTCGTTCTTCTTCCTCATCATCTTCTTTTTCTTCTTCTTCTTCTACATCTTCCCCAATTTATTATTTTTTTTTTTTTACGAACAGTGGTGATGTAAACTTTTCAAAAACACAACACAAATAATATTCGTTTCTTGTTATAATAAAAAATAAATAAATATACTTGAAGGTGGAGAGAGAGAGAGAGAGGTTCACAAATTTTGTTCAGATTATCAAATTACAAGAATATCTCTTGCTAAACTATATAAACTTTATTATAAGCTTCGTTTTTCTTCATCATCATCATCATCATCATTATCAACGTCATCGTTATCTTCTTATTCTTCCTCAATTTTATTTATTTTTAGTTTCTTTTAAGCGGTGACACGTAATCTATTCAAAAACGCAATGTAATTTCATTCCGTGTTTTATCTATTATTTAAATAACTCAATTGTACGTGCACAAAAGTTTCTCTACAAATGAAAAATATTGAAATTATTTGACAAATCAATTACACTTTCACGAAACATCTTTTTCCAAATGATAAAACTGGAAGACACACTAACTCGTTAAACCCTACGAGCCAATTTATTAACTTAAAAAGTCCACAAAAAATAGAATAATTAATATCGTAAAATAAGTAAGTCCCCCCCCCCTACCCCACAAAACTTTTAGCGCTCGCCCTATTGAATTATCCTATTGACAAAAAAAAAAATAACTGAAATATTTCTATACAATTTTTGTAAGATAAAATACGATTCTAAGAAACTCTTCTAAAGAATTATATCTTACGTAAGTTTATTTAATCGTGGACGACGACGACGAAGAAGAAGAAGTTGATTACGTAAAACCAACTACGATCTCTAAAGAGAGACTCGTGTAATAAAGGTTCGAGTGTCATGGTCGTCGTTTTAACACATGCTCATATCCTTTCCGTATCTTCCTATATACCTGCTGACTAAGTAAAAGGAGAAGAACAAGGGGGGAAGGGGGGAAGGGGAACGATACGTAAATTGAAACGAACAGTTGTTTTTCTTATTAACAAATAAAATGTGGAACAAAATTTCGGCACGAAAAAACAAGATGATGATGCATTGCACGATTTGAAATAAACAAAAAGAAAAAAAAAGCAGATAAGGAAGAAGAGAAGAGTCGAACGCGTGGCCCTTGTCCCCCCCCCTGCCCCGTCCCCCTGTCCACTCACCCCCTTTTACCATGAAGTCTGTCTAACGTCCTTTCTCGTGGAAAGGAAGGTAGGATCCTTCTTTCCTTCCTTCCTTTCATGTGGCAGCTGTCGTTCTCCTTGAAGAACAACGCAACAGCAGCACCAGCTTTTCTTTCCTTTAACTTCAGTTCAGTCGATCTTTTGCTCTCGAACTCGCAAGACACTCTTCAAGTATCTCTATCTCATCTTTTTAAAAGAGATTTTTATCTGTGAGGAGTCCTCAATTATTTTTCTTCTATCAATTTCAGCGTTTTTTTTTCTCCCCATTTCTTTTTCTTTTTTTTTTTTTTTTTGCATTGGGTCTTACATCGGAAGAACAAAATTTGTGTTTCTATTTTGAAAAGTTAATTTTTAGTTAATAGTGTTTTTCTTTCCCCCTAAATCTATTTTTCCTTTGAAATATCCTTTGCATTGTGATTTGTTGTGAATCGTTTTACGTGATCGTAATCGTTTGATGAGTGTATCGATATTATCGTCAAACGTTGGAAGATTTTTATTATTGATTTTCATAACATAGTTACTGTGTAGTGGACATTTATTTTGTCCTTTTTGCTTGCGTATTTGCTTCTTATTTTTTTCTATTTTTATGAAAAAAATATATCAAGCATCGAAAATTATTGGTTATTAATTCGTTTCTTGGATGAGAGAAACAAAATTGAATTTAATAACAATACTTATTGATTTTTTTCATACGTGTATATATAATAAAAGAAAATCTGTAATGTTTCATTAAAAAATATATTTGTAACTCGTCTAAAATTTATAATATTGGTATAAACGTTTGCATAAAAAAAAAAGTATTGAAAATACGTGACACGATAAATCGAATAAAATAAATTAAAATTGAATAATTGCCGAGAGAAAGAGTAATAAAAGAAATAAATAATAATGCGTGAGAAACGAGCTATGATAAGATCGCGTTTACGTGAAATTCGAACGAATTCGATCGGAAATTGTGATTCGCGAAAAATGACGAAATTAGAGGAAAATTATTTGAACAAATCGGATCAGTTTAATCATCGTCAACGACTTTCAACGATGAATGGAAATTATTGCAACGACATGATGACGATGATGATACATTATACTAGAAGAACGAAGAGTGGTCTTTATTTAAAGGAGACCCATAAAACCACCCAGGATTTTACTTGCCAATGTAACTCGTCCTTATTCTTGGGGTACGTTTTTCAAACCAGAAATGGCTTAGTAAAGGAAAAAGAAAACGTTCTTATACTTTTTTCTTAGAGTATAGAAAACGAAGGGTGTATTTTTAATTCGAACTAACGACGATTTCGTTTCGTACTGCATACTACTTTCCTCAAATATATTACTCTTTAAGTATAATATAATAAAATAAGTATATAATACTATATATTATTATGTGTATGACTTTAATTTAATCTTTTTATATTTAAAATAAAAAATATATATATATATATATATCTAGACAAATAGAAACGTTCGACTAGATAAACGTTACAAATTTAAGTTATTACGAAGAGAAAAGGTTAATTACTAGCTCAGTGAGAATGGTGATTGTATAAAATGTTTAAAGGATAGAATTACTAGGTGGGAAAATCGTTCAGTAGTTGCTACTAACGTTTCATTATCTTCTTTCTTCTAATTATACAACCTGACATCGTTAAAATCGAGTAAATAGGTTAAACATCATTTTTATTCCTTTTTGGCAATTTCTCTGTCTCTATCTCTTTCTCTTTTATATTTTTCGATAAAAAAATTTGCCCCTCTTTCGTAAAATTTCGCTTGAAATTCACGCTTGATTTGGTCCCTTCTATTACTAAATGTATCAGACACCCTGTGAATAATTTCGCACACCTGGCGGCTCAGCTCCACTCTCTCTCTCTCTCTCTCTCTCTCTTTGTGATTATGAAAACTGTATTGTATTGATTATGGAAAATACATAAAGAGAGAGAGAGAGAGAGAGAGAGAGAGAGAGAGAGAGAGAGAGAGAGAGAGAGAGAGATGAGAGAACGAAAAGACTATGGTTGAATCCGGTGATTATAAAATTGGTCTAAGTTAGTGATGAGCAAGCTTTGTTTTGTACTCAAAATTAAAAACTTAATAATTCATAGAGGCCACACATCGAAACGTATTATATTTAATATTTAATATGTTAATCAACAAATTTAAATTTATTTATGGGATGGTAGGATATTTGTTATTCCCGGCATACATATACATTTATTTATTACAATATATAATACTTTGTTTTTGTTTCTTATTTTTAAGTATTTTTAATATTGGATAAAATTACTTGAAACTTTAAACAAAATTATTTTTCATTTAATATAACAAGCAGAAAAATAAAAAGTAAATATATTTATTATCGTAAAATAATTCTTTCTGTCTAATACAATTTTTATAATTGTATTCATAAAGTGTAAAACAAAATATAATACCTGTGTGGCTTTTAATATCTGAAATGACTTATACGACTTTCATAATCATCGGCACGCTTATCTAATCTTTTAGTATAAATAAAATGATTCGATATTTTACGTCACATCTAGAAAGAAAAAAAATTATATATATATATATTAAAAAAAGAAAACTTGTGATATCAGCATGTGTGTATATATGCTGAAACACTTGAAACTTTATCTACCAAAGACACTTTTTCATTTGAAATCGATTAATGACCATCGTGTGTCGAAACAATAGGGTACTTCCGTCTTTCTCTATTTTCTCTCTCTCTCTCTCTCTCTCTCTCTTTCTCTCTTGCAATGATGAACGAAAGCCCCGAGAAAATTGCATTTGGTAATCACGCGAAGCGGATATTAAAAAAGAGAGGCACGTAACTATCGTTGTTTAAATGAGATGATAAAAAACGGGAAATAGGTATAATAACGTTAACCTTGAGTTTGATTATTCCGTTCCCACGCCCTGTCTGGAACATATATCTCTATATACACATATTTTCTTTTTAATAACATAAAATTAAAATAGATCTTATACAAATGATCTTTTTATTTCAATATATTTAAATGCGTATTTATAGTCTTCTCTATTTATTGCTTGCAAATCATCGAATGCGGATAAAGTGCGTTGGTTGATCAGTATTTCATATGTGGGTTTTAAGTTATAAGTGACCAATTAAAATGAGTTACATGTATTTCATTTTATCATTATTATTTATAAAAAAAAAAATAATAAATATATATAATAGAAAACAAATTTATATTAAGAATATAATATTATACTATATAATGTATTCTTTGATATTTATATAGTAAATGAAAATAACATACACTAAAAATAAAAAAAATTTAAATGATCAGTATGCACACATGCGCATACGCATACGCATATATAACAAAATATTTCAATTCCACCTAATATAACATAATGTTATTTTCTGTTACAGTTTTCCACAAAAGATGGAACGTCCATCGCATAGTTCGAACGTTAATCAAATGCATGGTGGAAATGTGCACGGTGTTTATTCATCAGGAAGTCAGACCAGTCTCTCAACATCCTACGTCACTGGACAATCTTACATGCAGGGTCAAAATTATGCACATGGTGCATACTCATCGCCCAATGTACACACAGGTTATCCGCATACCACCTATTCTCAACCACAAAGTTATGGTACTATGGTACAGGGATACGGTGGACAACCCCAAATGGCTTACCAACAAAATCATCTTAAAAAAGGGACCGTAAGAAACGGTGATGTCTTGAAGAGATGCAGACTTCAAACTGCGTAAGTTTTTCTACGAATTTTTTTTTGGTTTTTATCTCTTTCCTCTTTCTTTCTTCTCATATTATTATCTTTCCTTTTATATCTTTCTTCTTTATCTAACGAGGACAAGGAGAACACGTGCAATATTTAAAAGTCCGCGAGCACAATACGAGATTTCTTCCTGACCCAAAATTTTCTACGAGGTTTCTGTCTCTCTCTCTCTCTCTCTCTTTCTCTCTCTCTTTCTTTCCTGTTTTTTTTTTTATTATTATTATACGATACACGAATCGATTCAATCGATTACGGTCTTGACTTACTTTTATGGATGTACTTGCTTACTCGCCAAGGTTCGATCACGTTTTTATGAAAGAACGTTGAATTATGCGGGTGAAGAGAAAAAAGCAAAGAGAAAGAGAAAGAGAAAGAGAGAGAGAGAGAGAGAGAGAGAGATAAGTCCGCGAAACGCTTGTTAAAAGGTCGACCCAATTAGCAGAGAAAATGTCGGAGTACTTAAGGTCGAAATAAAAGAAAAGTGAAAAAGATTCTTCTTCTTCTACTTCTTGTTCTTCTTCCTCTTCCTCTTCTACTTCTTCTGCTTCTTCTTCTTCTTCTTCTTTTAAGTACTCGACTTTATATATCGTTCGACAGGTATGAACTCTCTCAGGATCTTCTTGACAAACAAATCGAGATGTTGGAACGAAAGTATGGAGGTGTTAAGGCAAGGAATGCAGCATTGACGATTCAACGTGCGTTTAGAAGGTACACGTTGTTGAAAAAGTTTGCCGCAATAACGGCAATGGCAAAAGCTGAGAAAAGATTGAGTAGAAAACTACAAGAACCAATTGATCGTCCAATTAATGCGAATGATCACGAAAGGATGGCCTATCATAGTCAGATATATATACAACAAACACAAACAGCAAATAGGCCGATGCCTATCAGGAGTATGTCGCTTAGGGAGAGGAGACACGTCGATAATTCACAATCACCGATACCCAGAAGTCAAAGTGGAAGGTGTGAGATTCAAATAGGTAGTGGACATCAACACGGAAATCATAGTTTGCATCAAAGTGGTAGACATACACCATCGTTAGCACCTAGTCCGTGCAACAGACATCAGCCTTTACCACCTAGCCCTTGCTGGGAATCGAGCTCTCAAGAGAGTGGCTCCAGTATCCATTACTACAATCCACAGGTGACTGAAAATCGATATTAGTATCAGTAGTAGTAATAGTAGTAGTAGTAGTAGTAGTAGTAGTAGTAGTAGTAGTAGTAGTAGTAGTAGTAGTAGTAGTAGTAGTAGTATAGTAGCAGTAGTAGTAATAATAGCAGTAGTAATAAAAGTAGTTCTGCTAATATAACGGTAGGTAGTAGAAACGTCACCCTCGGCGGAGCTTGCCGGGCTATCGGTTTACTTACGAATTGATATTACGATACCGTCTCCATTGCTTCGAAATTCCGTTAAAAGTATCGGTATAATAAAAGTAGGCGCGTAAAGACTAGTTATGAAATCCTTTCCTACACACGTAAATCGATCATCCTCCCCGTGCTAAGATATCATATTTACCCCTATTACAGATTCCAAAGAATTTATACACATAATCCCACATTTCGAATCGATTCGGTTTGATACCAGTAGTTCGAGTCTATAGCGTTGTTGTTGTTTACTCGTTTTTAGGATACCTTGTGTGGTCTTAGACAAGATACACCCCCTAGAGATTTACTTCGAACACCATGCACTTCTCCGTCTGGGCCACACAATCTTCAGACCCCGATAACGCAGAACTGGAACAACTCGAGCCAACTTAGCTCTGCCGGTAGATCCAGGGGTTCCGGTAAGAAAGTTCCACCGGAAGTTCCAAAAAGAACGTCTTCCATCACGTCGAGATCAATGGAACCGCGTCACAATGGTCTGAGCAAAAGCGTAGAAAACGGTAGCCTGAGCTCAGTCCAAAGTTCCGGTAGCGACTCCACCAACTGTGAGAGTTCCGAGGGTGACGCTCAGAGAGGGTCACCGGTATGGAAACACAAAGGAATCGTAAGAACATTTTCGCTTTGTTCATTAGCACACAGATATATATTTTTTGATACGTACACATATAATATACAGATACATCACAGAGAGAACTGTTCCTCTCTTATCTATATTTTCGAGCTTATTAAATCCACATCTAACGAATTTTATCCTTTAACTTTTACGATTAGTCGAGTTCACCTGAACATCAAGATTGTGCAAGTCATACCACGGACACTGGGACGATAATAAATAGCGTTAAAGATCTGAGTCATTCGCATGCTAGTTCAAGTTATCAATTACCTTTAATGGACCATGCCGATTCGTTACCACAAACAAGTTACAAAGTATCCGAGACTGTGAGGAAACGTCAATATAGGGTTGGATTAAATCTTTTCAATAAAAAGCCCGAAAGAGGAATAAGCTATTTGATAAGACGAGGATTTCTCGAGAACAGTCCACAAGGAGTAGCGAGGTTTCTCATTAGTAGAAAGGGATTATCTAAACAAATGATCGGGGAATACCTTGGGAATTTACAAAATACCTTTAACATGGCGGTATTAGAGTAAGTGTCATTTTTTCTTTGAAAATAATATTAACATAAATAAAAACATATAATTTATTTGCTTACAACGATTCTTCTCTTATCACTTTTAGATGCTTCTCTCAGGAATTAGATTTATCGGGTATGCAAGTAGACGTTGCATTGCGAAAATTCCAAGCGTACTTTAGAATGCCAGGAGAGGCACAGAAGATCGAACGATTAATGGAAGTTTTCAGTCAACGTTACTGCCAATGCAATCCCGATGTTGTATCGAGATTACGATCGGCGGATACAGTATTTGTTTTAGCCTTTGCTATAATCATGCTAAATACAGATTTACATACGCCAAATCTTAAACCGGAACGTAGAATGAGACTTGATGATTTCGTTAAGAATCTCAGGGGTATTGATGATTGTGGTGACATTGATAAAGACATACTCGTTGGCATTTACGAGAGAGTCAAGGACAACGAATTTAAACCAGGATCGGATCACGTATCCCAAGTTATGAAAGTCCAAGCTACGATAGTTGGGAAGAAACCAAATATGGCCCTACCGCATAGAAGATTGGTCTGTTACTGTAGACTATACGAGATACCGGATATTTACAAAAAAGAAAGACCCGGGGTTCATCAGAGAGAGGTTTTCCTTTTTAACGATTTACTCGTAGTTACGAAAATTTTGAGCAAGAAAAAGAACAGCGTCACTTACACCTTCAGACAAAGTTTCCCGCTTTGCGGTATAATCGTAACGTTATTCGAGGTTCCTCGTAAGTATATAAATTTATTTATCAAAATCTTTTCAAAAGTAAATATTGAATAATTTACCAATAACTTTGAATATAATCGCACGATATTATTACTCTTGTAGACTATCCATACGGAATAAGATTATCTCAACGAGTTGATAGTAAAATCTTAGTCACATTCAATGCAAGGAACGAACACGATAGATGTAAATTTGTGGAAGATCTTCGTGAGTCTATCAGCGAAATGGATGAAATGGAAACATTGAGGATCGAAACGGAATTAGAACGACAAAAGAGTAGTAGAGGTGCGAGAGGTGGCGCAGAGAACAGAGATTCTGGTGTAGCTGACGTTGAAGTGTGTCCTTGTCCAGGACCATGTTCCGAAAGATCAGAAACCGTTGACATGGATTCACAATTGAAACGATCTGCATTAAGTAACTCGTTACTTGATATACACGAACAATGTAAGCATATAAAAAGGAACATGAGATTCTATACATCCAAAGAATAGAGAGATTCTCTTCTTTTAATTTTGATATAATCTATAAATGAATTATTTATATATATTATTTTCAGTCGCTGGTGAGAAACCGCAACGTCGTGGGAGCGTAGGCTCGTTAGATAGCGGTATGTCAATTTCTTTTCAATCCACTTCTGCCAGTTCTATGAGCCAGGGAATCAAACATCCCGGACAACAAGTTCATCCTGTACACTCGGGTACTACGATTCCTGGTGTTAGCAAAGGCCTCACTCAGCATCCATCTTTTTTAGGCGGCCTCTTTGCTAAACGCGAACGAAAGTTATCACAATCAGAAGATTCCACTCCTTATAGTCGTACTACGGAAGTATAATGTATCCTTCCAATAGTATTTAAGATACGCAAACGAACTATGTTCAATTTTATTTTAGTACGCTTTGTGCAAATATTGAACTGTCATAAATACTTACTGAAATACGACCATTTGAACGAAAATATAATTTTCTCAAATATATATTTTTCAAATTAAAACATACAAATTATAATATAAAGATATTATCTTTATATTTCTTTCTCATTAATTTGATTTATATCAATTGTTTATGTTTTATCGTATCAATCACGCGATTTATGTTTCTCTGTAATATAATATTATAATCGGAATATACATGGCACTTCACAATTGTATAAACATACGAGCACTATTTTATATTATCACATTGTTATATACATACGTATTATATAAATAATATTCCTTCAATTCCGACATTTAAAGTAACTACCTTGAAGTAAAATTTGTATTAATGCGATCGGAAGTTACAGTGTTGGTCCTAAGTTTCTCGTTGATTTTAAAGATTAATTATTCTTCCTTGAGACCCCATTAAGGCTAATTTTTGTTAATCAATTGTAAAACAACAAAGCCTAAATATAATTCTACAAAATTTCCCAAAAAAGAATAATTAATTTTTTAAATCATTTAGGAAAATCTCGGCTTATCCTTTATTTCAAATTATCCTTAAGAAAAATATATAATATATTATTTAAAAAGATTTGTATTTTTTTTTTTTTTTAACGACGACAGTTTATATTGCGAAGCGCACTAAAAAATTGACAAATGAGATGATAAATACCCTAATACTGAAAAGAAAAAAGATGAAAAACAACACGTCGATATATTAAATTTATTGGATTGGGCAGGATCCAATCATCGTGATCGCTTGGACGTTCTCGGAGAAATTTAAATAAAACAAAAAAAAAAAGATCCCTTTATCGAAATGTGTGTACAGTATTTATTTGCCCTAATATCTAACTTGGGGTCTTTTTTTCTTTCATATATGATATTTATAATATGAGGAAAGAATGTTGTGCGTGTGTGTGTGTGTGTATGTATGTGTGATGAACGATCCATTTATATTGTAGATAATCATTACATTCTTACACCAAGTGCAGCATACGTAAATACGTCATTATCATCAAATTTAAAAAAAGAAAAAAAGGAAAAAAAAAGAACTTGTTTAATAATGAATTGTGAAATAAACAGATTTGAAATTGTAAAAGTAATTATTGATAACGATCGCAAGTATTATTGCTATTATTACTTACGCAATTGTAAATAATAATAATAATAATTATTATTATTATTATAATAATGGTATATATAAATAAATAATAATTATAATAATAATATAATAAAAATAATAATGATAATGATAATAAAAATAATAATAATAATAATAATAATAATAATAATAATAACAGTAATAATAATAATAATAATAATAATAATATTAATAACGTAAAGCAGTTAAACGTGTAAGTAATCTATGTAACAAAAGCTTTCAAAGCGATGAAAAGAATAAATAATCCCTATCAGTGTTGTAGGTGCATGTTGATGTGTTCAACGATTTTCTAACGATAACACATTTTTTTGGTGTGATACACTGATTGAGATCAGATTGCGAAAGTAATATAATATAATATAGTATAATATAATATGATTTTCATTAATTATCGTAAAATAATCTACATTCATTTAAGAATCAGGGTCGAAGATTTATAGATATAAAAAGGACGTCTCAAAATTGTAATACAATGTTTTTACATATTACAATACACTCCTGTCCCGTAATGATTATAAACTTGTAGAAATTTCTATTAATAATCAATTCTATTTATTGTGAATGTTAGAGAAGAAAAGAAAAAAAAAATAAATTAAAATAAATAAATAATGAACTTGTAGTGAAAACACCTAAAGAAAAGACAAAAAAAAAAAGTATTTCTAAATGCGACACACTGTCAACACACAAAAAAAAGAAACAAAAAAGCAATATCTTTTTAACTACCGCATTTTACAAATATTTTACAAAGTATTTTCCACTATGTGAATGTACGAATATAGCAACACTTAGGAGATTACTAGCTAGCTATTGAGTGCCTTTCATCTATTTTTATTTCAACATTCAAACAAATATATTACAATGTGTATATATAATATATACACATTGTAATTTCAATTGCGTTTCATTGGTTCAATAATGAATTATTTGATTTGATATTTTATTTCTTTTACTGTTTTATAACAAATAAACATGTTTACGTTATTTCAAATAATTTCATCGAATATTTCATTATAATCATTTCGTCATAATATTTTCGTGTTATCGTCAAAAAGAAACTCCTTTTAATCATTTTTTCTATCGCGAATCTATAAAAAAAAAAATACTTCAAGAATTTTAAGCTAGTCCGTTTCTCGTCTAAAAATATATATAAATACATACATTTATCAAAGTAATCCATTAATTAAGTATAAATAGTATTCAATTAAATGGTTCTGCGGAATGTAGTCGAAAACTAATATATATAAATCCAATAATAATAGTAATATTAATAATAAGAAATGAATAAAAATAACGAAACTTATAAAAAATTGTAAAACGTGCGAAAGTTTGTAAACAAAAAAAAGAATAGACATCTTTCATCGGATATGTAATTAGTATAAACAAGTTATGATCGTTTAAAATTACGTTGTAAACGATAATACTACTAATTTTAATATTATTTTTCACATCGCATCATAGTAATTGTCGTCCACATTTTTAATTTTAAAGTCACCCATAATATAATCGAAATAAATTAAAATATAAAATAAATTACAATAAAAAATATAAAATATAATACAAAAATAAAAATTATTCTCTCTTCAAATATATAGCTTGAAATGATAAAAATAAAAAGAATTCAATCTTTTACAATATAATAATTCAAAAAAATGATCGTTCTATATTCTTAATTCATATTAACGAATTTAGATATCTTAAAAGATGAGAAACAACACGCCCGACATTACATACAATAAATGCTAACAAATATGTGAGTGTGTACGCGCGCGCACATGTGTGTGTAATGAATTCTGTTATATAAATGAAAAATGTAAATAAAGAGCAATAGCAGGGAAAAAATAATTATGTATGCCTTATATACTGCCGATAATTAATCGTGAAAATGGACGAGAAACAGACTAACGTGTTTGGAAAAGAAAATAATAAGAAAAAATATTTAAAAAATAATATATATATATGTATAAATCTTTAAAGAGTCATATATAACTTTTAAAACGTGTATTCTCGATCCTCGAAAATTGAAAATTGAAAATTAAAATCACGATTGAAGATGTCAAGAGAAAGAAGAAAAAACAACATTTAAACGAAAGTAATAAACTCGATGAGCTTTTGAAAGAAAACATAAATGTTTAAAAAATGATTCAATGTCTTATATATTTTTGCTTTAAACTCTTATCGTAAAACATCACATGCTTCAATCAAGTTCAATCTATTTGTCAGAAATGCTAATTACTGTATACATACATACATTCATTCATGCATACGTACATACATATAATATACATACACGCATACATATTACACAGTTGTATGTGATAGAAACGTAATATAATATATAAATAAAACGTAACATTTATAAATTCAGGTGTACTTGGACTATACAGATTAAAATACTAATTTGATAGAAGGATTATTCGATATATCATAATTAGGATTGTTTGTTTTTAATCTTTTTAACAAATATGAATTTATAAAACATTTGATTCATCTTGTGTTTGACAAATTAAAAAATTAGAATTTGATTATTTATTTATTTATTTATTCTTAAAAAATATATAAATGTAGAATTTTATTATTGATATTTTGAATGATCCATTCTATTGACAATATTATTCGATAGATAATATAAATAGAAGAATGAAAAATACTTGAAAAGTAATGTTATATTCATTCGATAAAAAAATTCAAATAGTTTGTAAACTCTATAATTCATAATAAAAAAAGAAAAGATGATTAGAAGTTATTGAGAGTAATAAATCTCTAAGCGAAACTAAAATACCATCAATGGCTCTAGTCCTTTATGACAAAATTCATCGTACGCTGTTAATTAGTAGCTATCGTTGAATAATCCTAGAGAAAATGAATTTGTTAAACCTTGACGATTTAAATAGGAAATACAATCTCGTTGATGATTACTAATTGATCGTGTCAAATTTTGTCATCGCAATGGGATCGCGTCAATTTGTGTTTACACATTATTAAATTTTCTTTGATCTATTTATCCAAAATATGAACACTCTAAAATTCTGTGATAATTTTATAAGAGCGAAGAAGACTGATTAAAAAGTCAACTGTAAATCTTTCTCTACAATTACAAAAATTTATCAAAATAAGAAGAATAAAAAATATTGCTCAAGTTTTGTCAGAAAAATATTGATACATTGGTTTCTCTTTCAAAGAGTTTAATTTATTATATTCGCATAAAGAACGTCATATTATACATATTTTATATATATTATATATATAAACAACCGAATTGAGATAAAATTCAGAATGAGATACAATATATATATACAAGAAAAATTTGTCATTTCATCAAGGATATTGAGAGTATATATCTTTGCTAAAAAAAAAATTACGGAGTAAATGATCTATTATATAATACAGCAATATACAATATATATATATAACTTTGTCTTATTGTTGGATATCATTTCCGTAAAATAAACCAAAAAATTGAAAAGAAATATAAATGATGACAGCAACAATTTGACGCGATCCTTCCTAGTGTAGTAATATGTAATAAATATTATCTAAGAAAATTAATTTATTGTCTGCTGATAAGAAAAAAAAAACATTGCGAATGTGTATAAATTCTTTCTCCCTCTTTCTCTTCTATATAATGCAAATGAATGAAATGATTTATCTCTCTATATAGGATTCATCCCTCACAGAATATTCTTCAAATACGTATTATGATGTAACCTTATTAAATAATCTTCATTGTTGCTACCGAAAAGTTCAATAGATTCATTAAAAATTGTATTTACATTATGAATGAAATTGTAAGTAGTATTATTATTTATTGATATAGCAATAAAATTGAAGGACTGAAATCCCTTCCAAAATAATAAAATTTTCATAAGAATTTTGAAAATCTAGAGATATATTGATATTCGATATTTAGATAATTGTTAGAGATATAATAACTATTTACTCATTGCTACTATCAGCTATTGAGCAATGTTAACACCAACATTATTATCAATTAAGGATGTTACTTTAAATATAATAAAAGTAGTTTCCAGAATACGTTTACACGTAAGATTTCTTATGGAAATGAATCATGGAATCATGAAAATAAATCATGTTCGAAGAAGACACCAAAAAAATACGAAGTAAAAGTCGAATAATCTAACTTTTTCCTTTACAAACATTTCTTAAAAATTGATTAATGAAGTAAATAATATAAAAATGAAAATTCATGGAAATTAGGTTGCTTCGTCTTATAAGATTTAATTCAACATAAATATTAATTGAATTTATCTCAGAATTAGTGCGACAAAGAAAAGTTATAGTCCTAGATTTAAAAAAAAAGTCTGCTCCTGATTAACAAAGACTGATAAATACAAAGAACTTGTATTAATATTTAAGAGATTTCTCTGCGACTAATTGGAACATGCATAACAGATAGAAGACAAAAATTCTTTCTTGTAATATTACACTTTATCTTAGTGTTATTTTCAAACTACTATCACGAATCTATTTTAATTCATTTCATTTTATTTTCTATAAATTGGTATAATATCAAAAATGAATAGTTTATATTATGAATGATTAAAACCCTTCGTTATTGACTACAGTAAGATATGAATTGTGGAATAAAATATTATAATATGAATATTATAAAAAATGAAAGAGAAAAAGAGAAGAAAAACAATTGTGAACTAAAACGACACGTCTGAAACTAAAAGTAACTGACAATATAGATTACATCTGAGTATGGGGAAATAATCTCATTTATATGAGAAAAAAAGAAAGGAAAGAAAAGAAATGGAAATATGCTTGTAAAATAATAATTCAAATATATAATATGTAAATAAACTATTGTTGTGAGCGTAACATTATTATTACCATTAGTAATATTA